GTTTTAAATATTTTTTAATTGTAGATGGACACAATATCTTTATTGTTTATGTATTTGTTTTATATGGGGCTGAGAATGGAACTCAGGGCCTCATGCATGTGAGGCGAATGCTCTACCACTGAGCCACAACCCCAGCCCTCATATGTGTGTTTTGCAAAGCTTTTCTCCCAGTCTCTTGATCTGCTTTTCATTCTCTTAGCAATATCTTTTAGAGAGCAGAACTTTTTAATTTAATGAAGTCCAACTCTTTAATCAGCTTTTTTGTTGCTGTGACCAAAAGACATGGCAAGAACAACATAGAGGAAGAAAGGTTTATTTAGCTTATGGTTTCAGTGGTCTCTATCCATAGATGACTGCTCCAGAGTTCTGGATACAAGGTGAGGCAGAACATAATAGTGTGAGAGCATGGTGGAGGAAGCAGCTCAGTACATGGCAACCAAGAAGCAGAGAGAGAGAGAACTTTGTTCACCAGGAACAAAATATAAACCCCAAAGGCACCCCCCTGGGACCCACCTCCCCTAACCACACCCTACCTGCCTGTAGTTACCACTAATTAATCCCTATCAGGGAATTAATTCACTGATTGGGTTAAGGCTCTCATAACCCAATCATTTTACCTCTAAACTTCCTTGCAGTGTCTCACACATGAGCTTTCGGGGGACACCTCATATTTAAACCACAACAACTACTTAATGCCTTTTTTCTTAAATAGTTGGTAGCTTTGATGTTCCATCTAAAAATGTCATCACTTAACCCAAGTTCACCTAGGTTTTACACCCATAAGTTTGACCAAAATTTTAAATATTGCTAAATATGTGAGAATATAAAAAATTCATATGCATTAATTAATGAAATCAGCAAAACATTTTTGGGACAAATTAGCAACATGTTTAAAAACATAAAATATTCCTACTCTGTTCATTTTGATCTCCATAATAATATGTCTTTCATATATGAAATCTCATACATATCCCAAAGAAGTTATATTCAAAGATGTCAATTGCTGTTACACTAATAATGGCAACAAATGAGAAACAACTTATGTGTCCATCAGGAGATTTATATCATTTGTTATTGTACATAAATGATTAAGAAGCCTATGGAATAATTTCAAAGTAAAATATATCCATATATGCTGTTATATAAAGATCCTGCATCCATTTTAATAAGTAGCTATCATCTTTTATTAGGGCTACCATTGTAAAGTACCACAACCTGAGTGAGATAAACAACAAAAATGTGTTGTCCTAGACTACTAGAGTCTGGTATTCCAAAATCAAGGTTTTGGCAAGGTATCCGAAGGAAGAATCTGTTCCATGTCTTTGTCCTTGGTTTATAGATGACTGACTTTGCCCCACCTCTCTTCACGTTGTATTACTTCTATTCATCTATGTCCAAATTTCCCCTTTCTATAAAGATACCAGTCACATTAGATTAGAGCCCACCATAACATTTTAACTCAATTGCCTCTCAAAAAAAATTGATCTTCAAATAATGGTACATTTTTACTTCAATATAGGAATCATGAGAGAACCCTATTGAACCCTTAACAATAGCAAAAGCAAGTGGCAGATGTATTTAGATATCATTATCCATGCATAGTTAAAATGTATATTTTATAGCACATCTAGTTTTTTTAAAAGCATGAAACCAGCTTTTAAATTGAATAAATCTCCTTTATTAATTGTGGTTATTTCTGAGTAGGGGCTGGGATTTAAAGGAACTCTCTAAAGGAATAATTTTGATTTATATGTATTTTTAGAACTTTTTGCAACAATAATATGTATTGTTTTCTTTGTAAGTAAAATATTGAAATAAGTTGAACAACAGAGAACATAGCTGTATAGAGTGAGAATGTTTGCCAAGGAAACATTATTTACATCCCAGAAGGACTTTTTTTTTTTTTATTAAAGGAACTCAGCTTCTTATAGATATTCATTTACATAGTAATCTCTATGTTTTTATTCTCATCTTCAAGGCTTATGAAGGAAGCTTTGGTTTTTTACCACCTAGGTAAGCTCATTCATCTGTGTTTGTGTTTGGTGGCTTGTTTCAAATAATACATCTTGTTAAAGCAAATATCAGGATGATTTCAAAAACCCTTTCTCTGACTTTAAGGTCACATCTCCAAAAACAGATTATGTGGCAGACTCTACCTAGCAGCCTATTTGAAAACCACTTTGAGGGTATGTTGAAGATGCTTAGGGGAATCATTGTCCAGAATGAACAATTATATCAAAGGAATTTCCTTATCACTGAGAATCCAGGGTAAGGGATGGAACATCAAAGGGACTTCTACATGTAGTAGGAATGCTCTATTCAGAGGGAGAACAGCTGATTCTCTGTTCCACTAAGAGCATGGCATATCCTTCATAGGAAGCTGCTGGGACAAACTGGCAGCCTGACAAGTTCTAGAGATGGATGCAAAAGCACATAGGATACCAGAAGAAGGGTGCTATGATGTGAAAGTGTGCTGGGGCTGCAAAAAAATTGTTGTCACCCAGGTAGAGTCAGCTCTTAAGGCAGCTAGCCTAGGGTTCAAAACAGAAGGATTATAGATAAATAAAGCCCATAAAATCCCAATTGTATTTTGTTCTCATTGTCGCTTTCTTTCTTTAGATATAATTTAAGAACTTGGCCAAGGCCCTACTTTCTGTTACCTGGTTCACATGTAGTGAGAAATGACCTAACAGATCAAAGGTCTGTGTCAGGATAGGAGGAGTGGGGACAGTATCGGTCCAGATGAATTAAGGCCAGGAGTCAATTCTTAAGCCCTTTTACTTACTATTTAAGTGATCTTGAGGAAATTACCAAGCACTGTGAGCCTTAAATTCTTCATCTGTGAAACAGATTTGAGATGCCCTGGCTCAGGGGGCTGCTGGAATATATGTGCTGTAAATAAAATACCTAGCATAGTACCTGACATTGATTAGAATTTTTAAATAATTCTTTCAGTATGACTTTAACCCAGATCCTACTATCCTCTCCTGGAAAATCAAGCTCTTGTTTTTATTATCCAGAACATCTCAAGAGATTATATAGCTTAATAGGTCATAGAATATCAAAAAATATGCTTCTTAAATTAAACACATTGAATTTTCTGTCTTACAGTAGACATCTCCTTCCCAACTACTTCTCCATTCAAACCAGGATAAGCCATTCATTTATCTTCCACTAAAATTCTAGCCCTTGGTTAAAGTTGACCAAATTACTCTCAAAATAACCTCATTAATTATCCTTTCAATAGATTGAACTCAGGCTCTTCCGGGACAGGGAAAGAGTGCCAGCCCAGAGGCTTCTGGGCACCATTTCAAAGGAGTAACATCCTATTTTTCAGAAAACTGTAATACACTTTCAAAGCAGTTTTCAAATAGGCTGCTAGGTAGAGACTGATTATCTACATAGTCTGCTTTCGGAGGTGTAATCTTAAAAATCAGAGACAGGGTTTTTGAAATTATCCTGATATTTGTGACAACAAGATGTATTATTTGAAACAAGCCACCAAACACAAGTGTCATATATAACAATTCATTTGTGCACTGGGTTCAACTGCACCAGTGTTGCGAGGGGGCAAAATTGCGACGTATGCAGTCGAGGGGAGAAATAAAGAATGTCCACGTGCTTCTGCCCCTTTTCAATGCTTTCTTCACTCAAATTACTCAATACAGTTTCACTCTATAGGTTCTTAAGAAAACAACAATCCTTAATGCTAGGCACTGCAATAGACATAATCAATTCACAGCGAACAATTCTAGATTAATTCTAAGCACTGCAAAACACACTTAATCATGACAGGATAGTGACAGACATTCCCTCTTTGTGCTACGTTCAAAGGTCTTAAGTCCTAGGCTTTGAGTCCAGCAGATGCACACTCACTCAAATTGTGGTGATCAGGTCTGGAACCAAGGCAGAATTTTCCTGGTGTAGAGCAGATGACCACTTGAGGAGGGGGTCGTAGGGAAAATTTGTGGCTCTCACCAAGGTCCAGATGAGGCGGTAGAGTTTGAGAGTGGTGAGGATCATGCAGAGGCTCAGGAACGATCACAAGTGATGGGATGTCAGGTCCTCATCAGGCTCTCCAGCTCGAGTGCTTCCTTGTTTCGGCTGGCGGAATCCCTGTTCATTTGCTCTATCATTTATACTAAATTTGGGGGCTTTTGACCCCCATTTCAATCCTTATCAGTTACCACCTAATTTCTCAGTGACATAATTTACCCTGGTGTCAGAAACATCTGGTCTGGTGGTCTCCACCCTGTTCTTCTTGCCTTTCCCTCTTATCAGGTGAGGACAGCTTGCCAGGGGCTTCACTCTGTTTTATCAGGGTGAGGGGAAGTAACTTGTTTGAGGCCATACTGGAGGGATCTGTGGATGTGTCTGGTGAAACTGCAGGTCTTTTGGTCTTTTAAAATGAAGTTTTTTTTTTTGTTTAGTTTTTGTTTTTTTTAATGGAGTTGCTTAGGCTCAGGCCTAAGGCCATCCTAACAACCAGGATAAGTGCACTGGATATCTTCTATACCTTTCCTAGGTGGAAATTTCTCTCTGGTTTATCCAGGATTCAAAAAGAATTACTCAGAGCAGATTTCTATTCCAGGCTTTTCTCTGCCAACTAAGACTCATCCACAGAGTATAGCACTGGACAACACCCAGCCTAGCATAAAGTTAATTCCCAGGGAAGGAACTGTGGATTCAAAGCCTCAAACAACCCTGGCTCAGGGCATTTAAATTTGACTTCTTAGATGTGGAATCTCACCTTCTTACTCCTTTTTCATGTTCTTTAAGTCTCAGAGGACATCTCGCCATCTTCTTCCCATGACTGTTGTTCCTACACTCTCCCATTTCATGGGCATTGCTACATCTTGTTTGTCTCAGCATCCCCACTATTAACATATGAACACAGTGTCTTCCAAAAGCAAATGCTCAAATACTGTCTGGCAAATAAAAGAATTAGTTACACTTTTGTTTAAGATTAAATTCATTCTACTTTATTGAATAAGCCAAATATATCCAGGTATATATCTTTAATTTAACAGAACAATGAACTAAAAGGGATAGAGAATGCAAACACTATGTTTTACATATTTCCAGTATTATTGATAAGGTCACTTACATTTTTAAGAAAATTCCTGTTCCAGTGCCATATTATCCTATTCCAGGTCACACAAATAAGATGAAAGATTTCTCAATTTGTTTTTCTAATACACCAAATTATTACTTTTGAGCAAGAAAAAAATAATAAATTCATGAATAATACCCCTAAACTAAGATTCAAAAGCTAATTAAATATGCTATTAAAGGAAAATTATTTGAAAAATACACTCTCCCAAAAAGATAAACCTTGACATCACACATATAAACCAAGAACACAAAGAACACTGCCTTCCCTCCAGCTCCACCACGGCCCTTCGGAACTCAGAACCTTTACTGTCCTTAAGTCTGAAAAATCTGCCTCAGATTTCATTCAGGCAGGAGAAGTTGTTGCACATGATACTACAGCTTGCACTGTCATAGCCGCAGCATCACCTGCACCATCAGTTACTGCCTAGGCTCTCCCACAACTCTCAGAGCCTCTTTGTACCAGGTTGGAAAGGAACCAGGGATGGTATCTTTTAGCTTGGTCAAAAACTCCAGAATTTTTTTCTTATTGGTTTCAGTATGGGCTCTTGAACCCCACTTGAACTCATAGCATACAGGATCACTATTGGGCACCTGATGGTATTCCAAATATTTTTTTTGCACCCACTCTTTGGTAATGAGCTTTCTAGTGTCCCCATAGATGAAATGCTCCTTTCCAGCATACACCTCAATTGCCTTCAGTACCTCCCAGATTTTCTCCTCAGTGGTGCAGCTGCCCTCCATAAAGATCGTACTCAGGATAAGTATCAGGAGACCAGTCTTAGGCATGCCCTGGTCATCATTCAGCATTCCATGATAGGTGAGGTCTAGTGTGTCATATATGATATAAATGTGGTTGTTAGGGTCCACTTCTGTCACAGCAATGCCAAAGACTAGCTCCATGAACTTACAAACTTTCCTTAAAATCATAGGAAAGTGGTCTTTATATTCCTTGATGATAATTTTTAGTATTTCTGCCTTTGTGGTGAGCTCCTTGGATTTATACTTGAAGAGGACAAACTGTACTAACTCACCCACTTTCTTGTCTAGCACATCTCTAAGGGGAGATTCACTACCCTCAACTTCTTGGCTGCTGGATTCTACTTCTACCTTGGTGTATGAAGTGGAGGAAGAAGAGGAACTCTGAGGACTCTGGGGAGTACTCAAAATTGCATCAGTAGACACCTCCTTTTCTTCCATGGTGCCTGGGATCATAGAAAAGGAACAAGAGAGAGAGGAGGGAGAGGAGGAAGAGGAGGTGGAGGGGAAGGAAAAGTGAAAAGAAGATGAAATGGATGAGGTATCCTCTTGCTCAGCTGCAGGAGCCTGCACAATCAACTCTTCTGCTTCATTCAGGTCTTGGAAGTCTTGCTCAGAGGTGAGGCGTGGACGCTTAGGAGAGGGAGGCATGATGATTCCTCCTGCTGGAAGCAGTAGGTTGGAGTGAGAGCAGGAGTGTTGTGATGGGATCCCACAAGCCTAGGGGTGAGAGGGACCATGTTAATGTCCTCAGGTGAAAAACTTACCCATGATGACTTTGATGAAAGCTCACTTACAGATTTCTTTAGTGATGTCAGAGAGCCTCACAGGTTTGCTGTCTTTCTGGTAGGCCTATGCCTAAGATCCTGTAGGAGGACATGAGAAAGTTCCTCAGGACACAACCAACTGGCAGAGTGTGAAGCTCCAGGGTTGACAGTGGGGAAGGTGGGGTCCATTGCTGTGGGGTTCCCTCTGTTTGAGAGGGACAGGGCCCTTGGCCCACATTCAGAATGTGCCTCACCTTGGTTCCCAGCACTGAGCCTCCTCTGCTCTACTGACCTTATATTGCAGACTGAAATCTTCACTTCCCAGGTCCTGGCACCCCTATAAGACGAATTGAAGGGTCCCCTGTAATTGTAGAGTACCAGCACATCTCCAGGCCACCCGGGACTGATAGAGTGGCGTCAGACTCTGTGAGACCCTCCACCCCATAGTTCTAGGGTAGATGGTCCCCTCAGTGTTCACTCAGATAGGGCCGCATCCCCAGCACTACACTGACCTGACGCAAATTTATAGGGAGTTCACATCTCTTAAGCCAAAAGGAAGATGAAAGGTAGCAATACTTCTTGACTACTTTACTATGAATCTTCCCAGGACTGACAGTAGGGTTATGTCAGGCTAGTGTCTCATGTGTTTTAGTGTAGATGTGACACTTTAGCTTCCTTAGTCCTCATATCAATACCTAGCAAGGCTTAGGAATCTTCTCATTGCTAATCTGACCTAGCTCTATCTATTGACTTGCCCTCATCTGCTCAAATCAAGGCCCTCATTTAGGGATACCTTTGAGTCAAAAGTGAAGAAGCAGCTCAGCCTGATGGGATTGAATGAGATTTACTATTGATATTATGAAGAGCATGATAGGAATCTGTGGTATTCTGTTCTGAAGTGCAAACTAACCTCAGTACTTCTCAAAATACTATCTATTCCTAACAAGGTCTACACCTCCTCTGTTGTATGTATTGAGGATGCATTGTTCAGGCCAAAGCTATCATCGTGTTCCATGGGAAAACTGACAACCCTTTCCTGGGCAAAGCTAGGCTGGGTCCTCAACTTCCTGTTGTTAATCCTCCCCCAAGGTTCTTACCTTGATGATTGACTACACCTAGACTCTCACTTATACTGACACAAGTCTAGCCCTCACACAAAAACCTTCACCATCTTTAGATTCCCCATAAGGAAGCTTGAAAATTAAACAACCAGGGACCCTGTCTAGAACTTCCAGGGACAACTGATCAGGGATTATGCGGCTGGGTCCCCACATTATATGTGGTAAGAGGGGCTTTTGGTTCTGTTCTTCTTCTTTTACTTCCTTCTTGATGATTGGGCAGGACTAGGGCTCCTCCTTATGTTAATCAGAGGCCACGCCCCCCAAATCCCCAGGTGGAAGCTGGGAAACCTTGGAGTGGCGGGAAATTTTGGAGTAGCAACACCACCTGGAGCCTCCTAGGAGCTACTGGAGGGATAGGGCGGGACTGAGGACTGCTTTATCTTTGGGGAGGGGCTCCCCCTTGATGATTGGCCAGGACTAGGGCTCCTCCCTCTGCTGATCTGAGGACACACCTCTCAGAATCTCCAGTAGAAGCTGGGAAACCTGGGAGTGGCGGGAAATCTAGGAGTGATGACAGTGCCTGGAGTCTCCTAGGAGCTACTGGAGGGATAGGGTGGGACTGAGGCCTGCCTTATCTTTGGGGAGGGGCTCCTCTTTGATGATTGGCCAGGACTAGGGCTCCTCCTTCTGCTGATCTGAGGCCACACCTCTCAGAATCCCCAGGTGGAAGTCAAGAAACAACACATCCAGTAACTCTTGTCTCAGTGTTCTCAGGACTGTCAACAAGGAAGGGGCAGGGCTGTGGGAGGAGTTCACAGTTCTCTATTGGGGTCCTCCTGTTAAAAATTAGCTACTCCTAGAACTCTACATCTGATGATGTGAAAGCCACACCCCTTAGAATCATCAAATGGAAATCAGACACCACCACACCTAATGCACTTGCCTGAGGCTTCCCAGGGACAACTGCTCCGGCAGAGTGGGTCTGGAGCTCCCTATATCTGTGGGAGGAGGGGCCCTCAATCCTCCCTCGGGGTCATCCCCTTGATCATCGGCCAGCCCTGGGACTTCTCCTGTGCTCCCTATATGCAGCCTCCTCACAAAAAGCCTCACCTCCCTCAGACGCCTCATGTGACGCCCCTTCTGAGCAGCGACACTGCCTGGAGCCTCCCAGGAGCAAACAAGGGGAGAAGGAGGGGCTGAGGCCTATTTTATGTGTGATTGGGGGGGGGCTCCCCTATGATGATTGGCCAGGACTAGGGCTCCTCCCTCTGTTGGCCTGAGGCCACGCCCCTCAGAATCCCCAGGTGGAAGC